CTGCTTTCCCAGGCCATAGCAGAGAGCTGGATCAGAAGTGGAGCAGCCAAGACTCGAACTGGTGCCCACATGGGATGCCGGCACGACAGGTGTTGGCTTTACCCACTATGCCACAGCGCCGGCCCCTCAATTTACTTTTTACAGTAGTATTTTTCTAATAAGCTTAGTTATTCCAAAAAGGGTCATCTCGTACCCCAACAACAGAATTGCTTGGTCTTCTATAAAAACACCCCTTAATCTTCTATACAAACACTGGATTTGAGTCCCTACAATGTTGATACATTTGAACCTTGGTAGTTGTATATGAACATTCAATGATTATCAGACTTTATATGTATGGGATTTATGGATTCCTGCTACTGTATATCCCAATAAAAATGTAAGAAATAAAAGGCAATTGTTTTTAGTGTTATTGAGGCCCCACTAATTACATATTCTAGTATGACATATTACTTAAAAGCAGATTAGTTCCATTTTGTTGTAAACTGGCAGCTTCTACTTATTATCTACTCTAATAATATCTGTTGAGGAAGAAACTGGCTATTTACATTGGGCGTCATAATTGCTGAATTCCCTTCTGATCATAGTCCAATGAGATGCCTCAAAAATTGAGAATAGAAGGCAGAGGGAATTCAGTTGTGAGATGTGGCTGAGCCAAACTAGTTGTACTCACCTGTTTTACATAGACAAGCCATTTTTCTTTGAAGAAATATTAGAATTTAAAAAATTTTTCATTTATTTTCATTTTATTTGAAAGGCAGAAAACCATAGACCTTCCATTCGCTAATTTATTCCCTAATTCCTGCAACAGCTGGGGTTGGATCAGGCCAAAACCAAGAGGCCAGAACTCCATCTGGGTCTCACACATGGGTGGCAGGAACCAAATACCTAAGCCATCATCTGTTACCTCCCAAGATGTGCATTAGCAGGAAGCTGGATTGTAAACAGAGTAGTGGTGGCTGGAACTGAAACCAGGCATCCCAGTGGGAATCTTAAGTCGCTATGCCTGTCCCCAGCTGAAACAGTAAACACCGACTGTAAAGAAGGCATTGTGGCACACCAGGCATCGAGCCACTGCTTGGGATGTTCACATCCCATATCAGCGTGCTTCTAACCCAGCTCCCTGATAATGTGCCTGGGAAGCACTGGATGATGGCCCAAGTACTTGGGTCCTTGACACCCACACAGGAAAGCTGAGTGGAGTTCCTGGTTTCTGGCTTTGGCCTGACCTAATCCAGTCATTGCAACCATTTGGGGAGTGACTCAGCAGATGAAAGATCTGTCTATCCTTCTGTCAATATGTCTTTTGAATAAATCAATCTTTAAAAAAAGGGTCCAAAAGGCCAGTGCTGTGGTGTAATGAGCTCAGCCTCTGCCTGTGGTGTCGGCATCCCATATGGGTGCCAGTTCATATCTCAGCTACTCCTCTTCTGATCCAGCTCTCTGCTATGGCCTGGGAACAGAAGATGGCCCAAGTGCTTGGGCCCCTGCACCTGCATGGGACACCCGGAAGAAGCCCCTGGCTTCTGGCTTTGGATCTGCCCAGCTCCAGTCATTGCAGCCATTTGAGGAGTGAACCAGAGGATGGAAGACTTCTCTCTCTCTCTCCTTCTGTTTGTAATGCTACCCCACAAGTAAATAAATATTAAAAAAAAAAAAAAAAAGGCTTGGGGTCCAAGCCCTGGTACATTGAGAACACTCTAAGGAAAACACTAGGTGATTCTTAGCCTTCCAATACACCTTTTTGTGCATTTGTTTTTAGATGCCTTTTTATTTCAAGTTACATACGCGCAGACTTCAAAAAGCTCATGGAAAACTGGAATTTAAGAATGTTTATTATGTTGTAAAAAATTGAAATCTATGCAGTTTTCCCATTATATGCATTTTACACAAACTTTGAAAACTATTTATTGTACAATGGACCAACTTCGATGTAAATATAGTTTTATAGTTCATTTAACTGTTTACTATACTTTGTTACCTATGACCTTCAAGGATTTTGATTCCTGATTAATAAAATTTGAAAATGAAAGATATTTCTGATGGTTTAAATTATAGCACATGTGTGGGGAGCAACTCGGACTATACTGTTACTGGAATTAAGACTTATTCTATGCATCTGCTCTCCCACAATATGGCGCTGGGAGAGAAGAAAACAGCTTCTACACAGCTGCCTCCAGTTCAGCCAATAAACTGTAGGACTTGCTCCTGATTGGAGGAGAGCAGCGAACTCGGCGTGTGGGCAGCCGAGTTGGGATTGGCAGAGGAGGATTATAAAGGAGGAGAGAGACGGCATGCACCAGGAACATCTAAGGGGAACACCTGTGCAGCCCCCGAGAGAGCCGGCCGGCGGTGTGCCGCTTCCCTGCGGAAGTGGGGAATGTGGCAGGGGGAACCGCCCTTCCACGGAGGTGGAAGGGACAGTAGCCAACCCGGGAAGAACCAGCAGCAAACCCGGGGAGGGCCGAGCAGACGAAAGAACAGTGCAGGGTTTAGTGTCGTTCCTCCACGAAGAGGGGGAGCGACACACATGAAGTTCCTGTTTTTTACTAAAGACTGTCCTGGGGCTGGCGCTGTAGTGTAGCAAGTAAAGCTGCTGCCTGCAGCGCTGGCATCCCATGTGGACACCGATTCCAGTCCTGGCTGCTCCACTTCTGATTCAGCTCTCTGCTTAAGGCCTGGGAAAGCAGTGGAAGATGGCCCAATTCTTTGGTCCCCTGCACCCACATGGGAAACCCGGAAGCAGCTCCTGGCTCCTGGCTTCAGATTGGCACAGCTCCAGCCATTGCAGCCAATTAGGGAGTGAACCAGCAGATAAAGACCTCTCTCTCTCTCCTCTGTGTAACTCTTTCAAATAAATAAATCTTTTTTTTAAAGATTTATTTATTTATTTATTTGAAAGTCAGAGTTACACGGAGAAGGAGAGAGAGAGGTCTTCATCTGCTGGGATCTATGGCATTTATGGGATGCTGGTGCTTCAGGCCAGGGCATTAACCCGCTGCGCCACAGCGCTGGTCCCAACAAATAAATCTTAAAAGAAAAGGCCATTTTGTATCTAACTCTTTGTATTTAATATTTAAGCTTTCTTTTTTCCTTCCAAATTACAGTCAATTTACTTTGGGAATTAGTCTGTTAACTAAATTACTTCCCTCTCTCCCTGTCTTCCTTCCTTCCCTCTGTCCCTCCTTCCCTACCAAAAATGGACTGTATTGGGCAGAACTTGGCACAGTGGGTTAACGCCCTGGCCTGAAGCGTTGGCATCCCATATGGGCGCCGGTTCGAGACCTGGCTGCTCTACTTCCTGTCCAGCTCTCTGCTATGGCCTGGGAAAGCAGCAGAAGATGGCCCAAGTCCTTGGGCCCCTGCACCCATGTGGGAGACCCTGAAGAAGCTCCTGGCTCCTGGCTTCGGATCGGTGCAGCCCCAGCAGTTGAGGCCATTTGAGGAGTGAACCAGCAGATGGAAGACCTCTCTCTCTCTGCCTCTCTTCTCTCTGTGTAACTTTCAAATAAATGAATAAATCTGTTTAAAAAATGGACTGTATTTTTTAAAATATTTATTTCAAAGAGTTACACAGAAGAAGAGACAGAGATCTTCCACCTGCTGGTTCACTCCCCCAGATGGCCCCAAAAGCCAGGGCTGGGCCAGGCTGAAACCAGGAGCTTCAGCTGGGATTGCCACATGGGTGGCGAGGGCCCAAACACTTAGGCCATCTTCTGCTACTTTGCCCAGGCCATTAGTAGGGAGGTTTGGAAGTGGAGCAGCCTGGACTCGAACCAGCACCCACTATGCTACAACACTGCCCTGGGTTATACTTTTAAAACTTTTTCCCCCTTGGAGAGCAAGTGGAAAAATGGCTTGATAACCACCACATTCATCTATTCTTGTTGCTGGTATAAAGTGAAATGATTTCTTTTATTCATTAACCACAGAAAATTGTTTTTGAAAGCCATGTGCAAATGATCATTTTAACTTAGCAACGTCTAGAAAGTGGATAAATATAAAACCTTAGTGACATTTTTGAGCCCACAACCCATTTACACTATAGTAATAGTACAATTCCAGTAGCACCAACCTAGTTCCCAGTCGCTGCTTGCTTTGGTTACCTTCTCACTACCATTACTTAAGAATTAAACAGCAAAGAGAAACGTATACCAACAATAGCTGCACTTGGCAGGGGAAACAGCCCTTTCACATATGGTTTACACTGGAGGAGGATTTTGATATTATCTAAATCTGTGGAGCTATATGTGCCTTATGACAATTATACTAGCCTATGAAAGCAGCAGCAGGTCCCAAAAATTTGGGCAAGAACTCAGGCAGGTATTGTGGCGCATTGGGTTAAGCCACTTGGGAAGCCCATATTCCATATCAGAGTGCCGCTTTGAGTCCTGGCTACTCCACTTCAGATCCCGCTCCCTGCTAATGCACCTGGGAAGAGTATGATTGATCAAGCGCAAGAGTTCCTGCCACTCACATGGGGAATTCCTGGTTCCTGGCTTCAGTCTAGCCCAGCCCCCGCTGCTCTGGCCACTTGGGTGGTGAACCAGCAGATGATCCAACTCTGCGTTTCAAATAAGTAAGTTGTAAAAAAATAAAACACTTCATGACAAAGCATTCTTCAAAATCAACCTTTTAACTTTAGCGTTTACAAAAATCCTTGACTTTAGCAACAGGAAAAATCAGTCTCAGGACCATCAGTCTTATTTATCTACTTGAAAGTCAGAATTACAGAGTGGTAGAGACAGAAATCTCTCTCACCCACTGGCTCACTCCCCAAATGGCTACAATTGGAACTGGGCCAAGCCAAAGCCAGGCGCTTCAACCGGATGGCCCACTTGGTGCAAAGGCCCAAGTTCTTGGGCCAACTTCCACTGCTTTCCCAGGAGCATGAGCAGGGAGCTGGAAAAGAATTGGAGCAGCTGGGACTCCAACTGGTGCCCATATGGGATGTAAGCATCACAGATGGTGGCTTAACCCGCTATGCCGCAATGCCAACCTTTTTTTTTTTTTTTTTTTAAGATTTATTTACGTGGGGCCTGCTCCGTGGTGCAGGTTAATCCTCTGCCTGCAATGCCGGCATCCCATATGGGCGCCGGTTCTAGTTCCAGCTGCTCCTCTTCCAATCCAGCTCTCTGCTGTGGCCTGGGAAAGCAGTAGACGATGGCCCAAGTCCTTGGGCCCCTGCATCCGCATGGGAGATCGGGAAGAAGCACCTGGCTCCTGGCTTCAGATCGGTGCGGCTCTAGCCATTGCGGCCATTTGGGGAGTGAACCAATGGATGGAAGACCTCTCTGTTTCTCTCTCTGTCCGGAACTCTACCTTTCAAATAAATAAATAATATCTTTAAAAAAAAAAAGGGACAGACTTAAAAAATTTATGTATCTGACAGAGCCACAGAGGCAGAATCAAGAGAGGTCCTCCATCTGCTTGTTCACTCCCCAAATGGCCACAACAGCTCGAGCTGGGCCAATCCAAGGCCAAGAGCCCACAGCCTTCTCCAGGTCTCCCACGTGGGTACAGGGGCCCAAGGACTCAGGACATCTTCTATTGTGTTCTGAGGCCATAGCAGAGAGCTGGATTGGAAGAGGAGCAGCCAGGACTCGGTCAGGCGCCCATACGGGATGCTAGGAATGCAGCCCACAGCCCCACCTGCCATGCCACAGCACTGGCCCTCACCTGAATTCTTATACTAGCATTTCCAGAGCTGGTGCTGTGGCAATAGGTTAACCCACCATCTCCACTGCCAGCGTCTCACATAAGCACCGTTTTGAGTCCCAGCCACTCTACTTCAAACCCAGTCCTTGGCCATAGCCACCCATGTGGGAGACCTGAAGCAGCTCCTGGGTCCTGGCTTCGGTCTGGCCCAATCCTGTCGGTTGCACCATTTGGGGAGTGAACCAGTAGATGGAAGATCTTTTTCTCTTTCTGCATCTCTGCCTTTCAAATAAATCTTTAAAAAAAAATTTTAAAAGAAAAAAAACCAGTATTTCCTAAAGTGGAGCAGCCAGGACTCCAACTGGTGCCAAAGTAGAATGTCAATGTCCCAGGCAGCAGCTTTACCTGCTACACCACAATGCCAGCCCCTTACCTGACCCAGTAATTGCTACTTAAGTTTGTAAGAAGGGCCGATGCTGTGATGTAGCAGATTCAGCCACTGTCTGCAGCACCTGCATATGGGCACTGGTTCAAGACTGGGCTGCTCCACTTCCAATCCAATTCCCTGCTGACGTGCCTGGGAAAGCAGCAGAGGATGGCCCAAGTGCTTGGGCCTTGCACCCTCATGGGAGACCTGGATGAAGCTCCTGGCTTTGGCGTGGCCCAGCTCCATCATTGTGGCCATTTGGGAAGTGAACCAGTGGGTAGCTCTCCACTGCTCTCCCTCTTGCTGTAACTCTTTCAAATAAATAAATCTTAAAAGAACAAAATTGCAAGGAAATGAGGTTATGTAATAATTAGTAAACTATGACACACCTGCACACTATGATACACTTTTAACTGTACAATGGGTCTTAAAAAAAAAATTCATGGAAAACACATTAATTCCACTTTCATGGTCTTTTTGAAATACCCTTGTATAAATCTCACTGAATCGTCACACTTCTGAGGCAGCTACAGTACTGTTTTATAGATGAACTGATTCCCAGAGATTAGTCTAGTGAAAGGCAGAGCTCTATCCCAAGAATGGATTCCAAAGCTTGTCTTCTGCACTACACTATCATAGGAAATTGTAAAATCATGCATTTTTTCAAATCACATTCAATTTTCATTAACTTGAGTATTTCCAATGTTTTAGATAGAACAAATGTTTATAAATGAAGTGTCTGTTTTTACACTAGGCAGTTTTCCGCACATCAAAAAGCCACTAAAAGTTAAAAGATTTTTCAGTAACCCTTATATTAACATTAAACAAGTCAATTTAGATAATTACCAGACTACCTATTAGATAGAACTCAAATATTTTAAAACAGATTTTAGCTTGCTTTTCTGGTAATGCTCATCCCACAAAACATGGATTTGCCTAAGAATAAGTGAGGCAATTAAAGTGCTTTTACATTCCACCCATGTTATTGCTTTCCACAATATATAGCAGCGATCCATTTATAGAACATGGATTTTAGCTTTGGCACCTAATGAAAACCCTTAAAAAGTAGTTTTTAAAGATTATCTGATTAAAAAAAAATCCCTGATTAGTTCAGATCTGGGAAAACACAGGAATAACTTCTACATATTTAACTTGTGCTACTTATGTTTAGTCCATTTTCCCACTCTAATACAAATGGACTATAAAATACCATATTTCTCTGCAATTTCACCATCATTGCTCAAGGTGTAGCATCTATTAAGCTCCTAGAAAGCTCAAAGACCAAAAAAGACCTCGTCTGTTGGACCAGTCTGAAGAAAAATATACAATAGATTAATGCAGTCAGAATCACCTGACACAGAAACAAGATTCCATTTCATTACTGACAATCATAATTCAAGTGAACAATCTCATTGAACGCAGCTCTTTTCTTCCAGCACTCTTTCTATAAGATTTGTAAACACAAACCATCTAGTTCTAGATGTGAAAATTCTAATTTCCTATCACTATAAAAACTACCTGGTTATAATTTATGAAACTTTTGACTAATTAGAAGACCACAAGAACTGGCTCTTAGAAGGGGAGGAAAAAAAAACACAACTTCTTGAAAAGGTAAAATAGCTTAAAGCATTTAATATCTAAACAAATCAATCTGTTAATAGTAGTCACAAAATAGGCTTAATATAGAAACCCACATTTATGTCTTTAAGAAAAAGTGTAAATTGTATTTTACCTCAAAACATAAATTAACCCGCTTAAAGAATCAGCAGCGGTGAAAATCATGGTGAATTTTAACAGCTTCAGAATAAAATAACAGTAAGTACTTTATACTGCTTTGTATCTCAAAAATGCTTACAACTTCTCATAAAAATAGTCTGAGACAACTATTTTTTCTTTTATTCTTTAACAGACATGTTCAACATTATGGGCAACATTCTTAAAACCTTAAGCTTCACAGACTTTCAGACATTCAAATACTGTGGTCCCCTTTTCTTTGATGTGGTTTATTCAACTAGGAAAAAAAGCATGGTAGACAACTTAATACATTTTCACCAAATTGATAGTACAAAAGTTTTTAAGACTACAGAACTACACGTTGTACCTAATGTATCATTAAAAATAGAAGACAGTATTTTCTCCAGCAAATAAAACAGCATACTGGTATGCTGTTAATGCAACTTTTTAATGTGTATTGTCAATCATAAATTATTTACAACCTCTATTTTTGTGAAGAGAACTAGAATGTAAATTTTCTGCAAAACTGGAAAAAAGCAATACAAAAATTTGTGAAAGCCTATATTTTATATTGTACAAAAGTAAGCCAGTTTTTCTCTTCAAATACCAGATCCTATATGCAGTTTTATTTGGGACATACTACAGTAATTCTTGAGGATGTTTTAATGCTGGAGGCAAGTTTACAGGTCTTGACTCTTCATCAAGAAGTACCAGATCTTCTATTTCACTGCCTCTGTATTTCCTTTTACATATTTTTACCACCACCTTTTTCTTGAGGAATAGCTTCAGTGCTTCTCTTGATGCAACCGCTTTTGCATTTTCTTTGCTTTTTCCACAACCAGTGCCCAAATACACAGACTTGCACCTCAGCTCACAAACAATACTTTCTTGAGAGCTCTTATTTTGAGGCAGGTCCGCCAGTTCCTTTAGTGGCACAAAAAACACATCCAGCGTGGCTTTCAGAGCCTCAATTGCTGCCTTTAGAAGCTCCCCATGATTCACAGTGGGGCTGAAGCCTCCAACAGCGACCAGCTTCCACGCCACCGTTTTGTACAGTCTATTGAAGAAAGGCTGCTTCTGTTTCACGTCTTCATTAGTTAACTTGCAACAAGAGAATTTGACAGAACTCTCACTCGACTGTGAAGTACTTTTGGAAGGCAACTGTGAGGTGCTACTCTGAGAACTACTCTTAGAGGCCAGCTGGGATATACTCGCTAAGGAAGTGCTTTTAGGAAGCAGGGATCCACTGGAACTGCTCTTGGAAGCTAGCAAGGACGCAGCTACCTGGGAAGTGCTTTTGGAAGTTAGCAGTGACGAACTTGTTGCGGAGCTGCTCTTGGGAGTGAGTAATGTGCCTGACGAGGCGCTGTTTTTAGAACCACTCACCTCTGAACTAGTTTTAGAAGTTAACCCACTTGAAGGTGTCTCTGAACTAGGTTTAGAAGACAATAATGGCAACTCTACTTCTGCGCTTCCTGAGGAACCCAGCAAGGGCACCTCGACCTCTGCACTGCTCTGAGAAGCTGAGGCTGAAGAGCCTTCCACAGCACTCTTTTTAGGTGATTCACTTTGTTGTCTGCAATCAGTGGGCTGGGTCACATGACTATTCACACTAGATTTCAACAATGAAGAAACAAATGATGCTGAACCCTGTTTATCTGCAGCTTCTGATTCAGCTTTTCCAGATCCCACTGTTACCTGAGAGGAAACACTGCTGCCGCTGTGGCTGGAAGCAGATCGATCTCCATCGCTTGAGGAGCTGTTCTGACTGGAGACGCCAGAGCTCCGAGCTGAGTTCCCACTGCTCTCCGATTTGCCGGATGAACCCATACATGCTGACCTGTTTTCCTGCTGAGCCGCTGCACGTTCTGTTCTGGCAGAAACTTTTGCATGATCCTGCTCAACTGCAGAATTGTTTTTTCCTTCTAGGACTCGTTTTTTGGGTGGTTCTTCTACCCCTTCTAAAAAAAAAGGAAAACACACATGACTAAGAATACCTCATAAATACTCAACTGAGAAGACAAACACTAAAGTAAAGCAAAAGGTGAAAATATTTCAGGACTAGTTTCTTTTAAAAATATGAAAATAATCAAGTTCTTAAAACAGTGTTGAATATCATTAATTTCTAATATTAAAAAATTAGACAAATTAGACACTTCAAAATCTAAAGCAAAGAAAACTATCAAATTTAGAGATTAAAACACATACAGTTTAACATTCCAACTTGACTAGTTAACATTATATAAATTCTGGCTTGTTAAAAAAAATTAGTATTAACAGTAATTCCTAACGATATCAAACTTAAGTTCTAAACTCCTATGTATGTTCACATCTATGATCTGCTAACCATTGCTACTCGATATCCCTCTTTTCTTCACCTTGGCAACCAGTTCATCTCTTGTTGTATGGATTGGAGCATCTGTCACTTTGATGCCTTCAGCCATACTAAGTATTTTATCCATAACTTTTTGAGGGTACCTGAAAAAAAAAAGGAAAAGAAAAATCACTTTAAAAAAAAAAGAGTTTTTTCTAAGCTACCCCCTTTGGCGTGCAAACACCCGGCCACAAGACTTGCATTTCCTGGTTGCAATCAAGAAACAGTACCAACCGCCAACAACTTTCTGTTTCCCGGAATCCCGTAAACAAATGCCCGAGTCTGGGAGGCGGGGTTCCTCCTTCCAAACCTTGAAGCTTAGTTTCCATCCGCAGAAGCGCTGTCATCTGAACACCAACAACTCCACCAGCAGCCCCCCGCGACACGGGGGCCCCTCAACACGGTCTGGGAGTCACGTCGGCTCGGGGCAGGGACGCCCTTCTCACCCTTAGAGGGCAGACGGTGCCGCCAATTCCCGCGCTTAACTTCCCCTCCCCACCGAGACCGGTCGGCGGACGATCTGGCGTCCGGGGGCCGCCTAAGGACGCTTCCTCACTCACCGGCACCCGAGGAAGACGTGGTTTGCCCAGGCCATGGAAAAGGAGATGAGCTGCTGCAGCTGCCGATTACGGGTCCCGCTTTCGGCGTCGGCGGCTTCGACCGTGTGAGCGCCGCCGGCGGGGGCCAGGTCCCCGGCGTTGCGGAGGAGAAACTCCCGGCGGTGGCGCCAGTGTTTGTCAGTCTCGCCCTCGCAGCGCAGTGCCTCCACCCAGGCGGCCACCCGCGGGTTCTGGCTCAGGTACTCCGACACCTCCTGCGCCATGTTGGGCCTGCAGGCCGCCGAGGCCGCGAGCAGACGCTGCACCGGGAGCGAGGCGGGGTGCGCAGGGGCGAGCGGCCCTGTCACTGCGGCCTGCACCGGCGGCCCTCCAGAGAACGCCCCTCGAGAGGCCGAAACGCCAAACAACAGCGCCGGGAGCTGCTGAACCGCCCACTTCCGCCTGCCGCCGGCCTCGTCCCTTTTATAACCTCGCCGCCACCGCGCGCCCGCGCGTCCTTCCGGCGCGAGCCGGCTCTCCCAGGACGCTTTGCGGCCTCCGCGCTGCGGAGGCGGAGCCGGAGGGCTGGGGCGGGGAGGAGAGGGGAGGCGGGCGCCGGGCGCCGCCCGCCCTGGCGGGGCGGTCCTACGCGGGGTTCGCCCGGGTAGCCCGGAGCCCGGGCGGGAGCCCCCAGCAATCCGGCTTCGCTTTGTGACGCGGGGCGCGGCGCCTCGCGGGGAGTGGAGGTTGGGCTGGGACCTGCCGGAAGGCGGCCGCGTCCTGGTAGACCTTGGGCCGCCGCCGCTCTGCCGCGCGGGTCTGCGGGTCTCCGCCCCGCGTCGCTTGCTTTCCAGCGGGGCCAAAATAAACAAAACCTCGCCTCCATTTTTTTTTTTTTTTATTATGTCGGAGAACAGCTTCTCGCTCCGTGGTAAACGTAGACAGCCTGAGCACTCCGAGACCATCAGGGTCCTGAGGGCACTTGGGGACGTGGAATGCCCACGAAATCGGAGTGATAAAAACCACGGGGCCGCACGCTGAGTCCTGCCCGATGCCGCCCGTGGAGGGCGGTCTGGGAGGCGAGCTCCTGACCCCCGGGGTTGGGTTTGGCCTCCGCAGTGTCTTAGGGCTCTAAGACCCGGGCAGAATCTCCGTCGTCTCCCCGCTCGTTTTCTGCCCGTGACGAGAGAGCGCTCTGCGGCAGCTGCATTCGGTATTTTTGGTGTTCCCCGAAGTTAACACTGTTGCCTCCAACTGGACCAACAGCCGGGAGCTGGAGTGGGCTGTGCCCGTCCCTCTGCCACCCGACTTGGCCCTCTCACGGCTGCTTGTTCCAGTTTGCAGTGTCCGCAGTTAGCACACGCGCTGCCGCTTGCCCGCTCGGTGTTGAGGTCCAAGTCCAGGTTACATGTGTACTCTAAGATGAGTACATTTTAATAAGGCCAAAGGTTGTGAAATGTAAATGTCCTTTGGATAAATGTTGTGGGTTTTGTTGTAAAAAATGCTTGAGTAGCCGCTCTGGCTCCATTAGTAAAAAAACAAAGGTCACTTTAGATAAAGTCAAATTAATGCTATATGTATACATGCAGGAGCAATCAAAATCCAGCTAGCTTATGAACACAACATTGCCTTCTTTCCTGCCCTGCTAAAAGAAATGACGTAAAAATAAGAGGCACAAGGAAAATTTTAAATTGGGGTATTGTATAGTTTTTACTATTCCCCCCTCCTTTTCACAGTTAATTGCTGAAAATTTAGAAGGATAAAGATGATTGAAGAAATCTAACTACTTTTTTTAAAAAGACATTTATTTATTCAAAAGGCGAGTTAGAGAAGTCTTTCATTCGCTGGTTCACTCCCCAAATGGCCACAAAGGTCAGAAGTGGGCCCATCCGAAGCCAGAAGCCAGGAGCTTCTTTTGGGTCTCCCATGTGGGTGCAGGACTTGGGCCATCTTGTAATTGCTTTCTCAGGCCATAGCATAGAGATCCAGATCAGAATTGGAGCAGCCAGGACTTGAACCAGCACCTGTATGGGATGCTGGAACTGCAGGCGGCAGCTTTACCCTGCAGGGCCACAACTGCAGCCCCAGAAGTCTGACTACTTAAAGATGGAACATTTTTATGGTTTCTCCTTTCATGAAGTCTTTGGCATGGACGTTATAGCAAGTAAAAGCATTTATGGTTTTACCTAGGTAGTTCTTGTGAACTTAACCAAAAACTTTATTTTTTTTCCTTCTTGTTGCTCTGTAGCCTTCCATTTATGTACTCCATTACCTTGAAGGAAGAGAAAACAGCTTGAATTTCAAAATAATTTATTAACATTATAATACAAGATATATAGTCTGAAAGCTGGAGTTCTTATTTACAAAAAAAAAAAAACAGGTGCTTGACAGAAAAGTTACATGAATTTTTCTTTTTGATTTTTTCTTTTTAGATTTATTTATTTGAAAGATAGCATGATGGTGCAGGGGAAGGGAGAGTCTTCCATCCACTGGTTCGCTCCACAAATGGCCACAACAGCTGGGTTTGGGCCACGCCAAAGCTAGGAGCCAGAAATACCATCTGGGTCTCCCACGTGGGTGGCAGAGAGTATAAGCACTTGTGCCGTCTTCCACTTCTTTCCCAGGTGCATTAGCAGGAAGCTGGATTGGAAGTGGAGGAACCTATACTCTAATATGGGATGCTGGCTTTGCAAGTGGTGGCTTCCACTTCTTTCCCAGGTGCATTAGCAGGAAGCTGGATTGGAAGTGGAGGAACCTATACTCTAATATGGGATGCTGGCTTTGCAAGTGGTGGCTTAACCTGCTGCCCCACAATAAAAAAAACCCTGCTTTTTGACATTTTTGTTTAAGAGCTTCTCCAGGGTACCTATCTTCAGAATGACTTTTTAAAGATTTATTTATTTATTGAAAGTCAGAGTTAGAGTGAGGAGAGACAGAGAGAAAGACAGATCTTCTTCCCAATGGTTTACTTCCCAAATGGCTGCAATGCCTGGGGTTGGGCCAGGATGAAGCCAGGAACCAGGAGCTTCTTCCAGGTCTCCCACATGGGTGTAGGGCCCCAAGCACTTGGGCCGTCGACTGCTTTCCCAGGTGCATTAGCAAGATAGCTGGATCGGATGAGCAGCTGGGACTAGAAACAGTGCCTATATGGGATGCCAGCATCGCAGGCAGAGACTTAACCCCCTGTGCCACAGTGGGCCCACCCATTTAAAAAAAAAATATATTTTTTTTAATTTGAAAGGCAGAGTTACAAAGAAAAAGGGGGAGAGACAGGGATCTTCCATCTACTGGTTCACTCCCCAAACCATGGCTGGGGCTGGACCAGGCTGAAGTTTCATCTGGGTCTTCCCTGTGGGTGCAGGGGCCCAAGCAGTTGGGCCATCTTCTGCTGCTTTCTCACATATATTAGCAGGAAACTGGATTGGAAGTGGAGCAGCTGAGACTCCAACTGGTTCTCATAAAGGATGCCTGCGTCGTAGGCAGCGGCTTAACCTGCTACACCATAACATGGTCCCCAGCAGACATTCTTCATAGGTCAACAATTTCATTAGAAAGAGATCTGATCTTTCCTGATAGTTTCTGCCAGCTTCCTGAAGTTCTCTTGGGAATTAATTGGTTTTAATGGGTCATAGGCTAAATATTCTGACTGTACAGGTTTGAGTCGTGTGTCCACCCTAAGAACAGTAAAACAGCTACGCAAGGAAAACACAGTCAATTAAGGAGTTTACACTCAAGGAAATGGAGATAACAACAGAGGAACAGAAGGATTTCTCTGTACCAGAAAATATGTTAATTAAAAAGTTTGGGCCAGCATTGTGACACACTAGGTTCAGCAGCTACCTGGGTTGCCAGAAGCTGTATTGGAGCTCTGGTTCGAGTGATGGCTGCTCTGTCTCTGATCCAGCTCCCGGCTAATGTGCCTGGGAAGACAGCAGAAGATGGCTCAAGGCCTTGGACCCCTGCACACACATGGGAGGCCCAAATGAATTCTGGGCTCCTGGCTTCAGCCTGGCCCAGCCCTCACCATGGTGGCCATTTGAGAGAGTGAATCAGTAGGTGAAAGAGCTCTTTCTTTCTGTCATTCTGCCTTTCACATGAACAAAATAAATCTTTAGGGGCCACCACTGTGGCATGAAAGGCTGGGCCTCTTGTTGCGGGGCCAGCATCCCATAGGGGTACCAGTTCAAGCCCCAGCTACTCTACTTCCGATCCAGCTCTCTGCTACTGCACGTGGGAAGGCAGCAGAAGATGGCCCAAGTCTTTGGGCCCCTGCACCCCTGTGGGAGACCCAGAAGAAGCTCCTGGCTCCTGGCTTCAGATCGGCGCAGCTCCAGCTGTTGTGGCCATTTGGGGGAGTGAACCAGCAGATGGACGACCTCTCTCTCTCTGTCTCTCCCTCTCTCTGTAATTCTGCCTCTCAAATAAATAAATCTTTTAGAAAAAAAAAAAAGTGGGTGACAGATGCAATAGGAATATTCAAGAAAAATCTTGGGAAGCCAAAGGAAAGGAGTGCATGGAGCTTAGTGGTGAAGAGTATCAACTTAGGAGTCAGACATTCCTGGGTTTCAGTTCTGGCTCCACTATGTAGCACAGCTGTGGCCCTAGGCAAATTGTTTAACTTCTCTGAACTCTGCTTTTTATGCATAAGATGGGAGATCGGGACACAGACTCCTATGAATTACCAAGAATATTTAATGAGATGTAAACAAAGTTCCATAGTTTATTTTAATCTGTGAGTTTTAGAAACCTTTTTTAGGTTTTATTGAGTAACATTTATACAGTTTAATCATGTAACTGTTTGTTTAAAAACTTATTTATTTATTTGAAAGGCAAAGAGACCAAGAGGGAAAGAGATGGAAGAGAGAGAGAGAAATTCTCCATCAGCTGATTCATCTTTCAAATGCCTACAACAGCCAGGTCCGGGCCAGTCCAGAGGCGAGAGCCAGAAATTTCATCTGGTCCCCGTCATGGGTAGCAGGAGCCTATGTTCATGGGCCATCTTCTACTACCTTCCCAGGTACATTAGCAGGGAGCTGGATTGGAAGCACCCGGGACCTGAACCTGCACTGGGATATGGGATACTGTGTCATATTGCCAGCCCCATGATATAACTTTTCTGATTATTCAATTTATTTTCTATTTTAAGGTCCCATTCTGTCAAGTGATGAAAACTTAATTTCACTCAGCTCAGGATTTTGCTTCCTTCTCTGTGAATTTGAGTATCCACTCCAGGGAGCCTACATAGTGTTGAGGCCCAGGTGCCCAGGGTGTAGGTCGAGCTGAGGACTCCCAGGTGTCCTCTGAAATGCCCATCTTTTCTGTCCGCTGTTGGTCTATGTAGGTCCCTGTGGGCCACTGCCACATCCTCAGCATCCTGCAGCAGGCCCTCTGTAGGTCAGGCTCTCCTTGCTCTACTAATGCCTGTGTCAGGCACAGGTAGAGTCCACTGCTGACTGTACCATGGTGGAGCAACAGGGAGCCAGCTCAAGTCCACGTGCGCAGGCACCAGCATGGCCCCTCCACACCACACGAGGAGAAGGGAAAGCCCTACATGCATTGCACTTTCCCTCTGCTCTGCAGGGAAAGGGCACAGGGGCACCTTGCTTGCAGATCCCCACACCTGCTGGGCA